CTTTCACAGAGTTCAGTTGCGACAGAAATATATGGCCACAAACAAGTAACTACGTTCCTATCCCTGAATGGAGTGTTAGTTTCAATAGAGTGGCACATTACAGCAAAGTTAGACTAGAATACGCACCCACCTAAATGCCGCAATTAAACCTTAAAATTTGGGAGTATCCGGACTTAACGGACAGCGTAATGTATTGCGGAAAGAAAACAGGAATATAATTTTTTAACAAGAATGATCTTAAATAAAAGTCTCAATAACAAATCTTTATATGAAATGATACGGGTTAAATAAAGGCATGTTGACGAACATGAATAAGATCGCCAAATGTATCGAAAGGTTCCGCAAGGGTTGGAGATGCTGGGATTCTAGTCGCATGTATAACCCTTGTTAGGCCTTGAGAAATTACTAAAAACAAAAAAAGACAACAAAACATGGGGCCGTTCAGTTGGCTCCACAGTTACCACATTATTTTCTGGTTGGTCTTACCCGTCAATGCTTGCCTTCCCTGGGTTGGAATCACATGTCAAATGAGTTGACTATTTCAAATCTGAAATTACATACAGTGTGATTCTTTTTTATTTTTTTTTTTTTTTTTGAGACAGTCTCACTCTGTTGCCCAGGCTAGAGTGAGCACCATGGTGTCAGCCTAGCTCAAAGCAACCTCAAAACTCCTGGGCTCAAGCAATCCTACTGCCTCAGCCTTTCTAGTAGCTGGGACTACAGGCATCTGCCACCATGCCCGGCTGATTTTTTCTATATATATTAGTTGGCCAATTAATTTCTTTCTATTTTTAGTAGAGACTGGGTCTCACTCTTGTTCAGGGTGGTTTTGAACTCCTGATACCTCTCGAGCAGTCTGCCCACCTCGGCCTCCCAAAGTGCTAGGATTATAGGTGTGAGCCACCGCGCCTGGCCTATGTGAAACTTTTTGAGTGTTCTCAAAGAAAATGCTCATTGGAATATTTTGGTTTTGGGATACTCAACCAGCAAGTATAATGCAGATATTCCAAAATTTGAAAAAAATCTAAAATCTAAAACACTTGCATTTTGGATAAAGGATACTTAACCAGTATTGTCTTTCACAGGATTTTTACTTGCCAGTCTGGTTCCTTAAGATCAGAGGTTGACAGATTACAGCCTATGGGTCAGATCCAGCTAACCACTTGTTTATGTAAGGTTTTATTGGAACATGACCATGCCCATTCATTATGTAGTGTCCGTGTAAAGTGGCTGCTTGTCCATGGCTGCTTTCACAGAGTTCAGTTGCGACAGAAATATATGGCCCACAAAAGCTAAAGTGTTTATTATGTGGCCTTAACAGAAAGTTTGCTGATCCCCACCTAAAATGATAAACCTAAAATTTGGATTTTACTATATCAAAAATTAATATTAATTTTTTTAAAGAATGATCTTAAATAAAAGTCTAATACAAATCTTTATGTGAAATATAATTAGAACAAATAAAATGCCATTTCAAATGAGGTATTATGTATAGAGAATATTACTCAAAGTTCTGTTTATACTTATCCAGCTTTGGAATTGGAATAAAAAATATGAATCATATTTCTTCCTTCCCCTTTGTATATTTTTAAAAAACTTTTGGAAAGACCATAGCCAAGAGTCAGGGTTAATGGAGATTTCATACTAGTCATTATGACCCAGCCAGATTGCTTTATTAAAGTTGTTTAAGGAAGATAAAGTGGTTAAGCCAATGAGAGACTTTCCTTCTCTTTTGCCTGTGCCTTAGGAAAAATTAAGCCAATGAGAGATTGCTAGAGGGAGCAGTGAGAAGCTGCTGCTGCTCCGGTAGGGGTGGTGAGTGGGAGTAGGGTGGAGCATGGTAGAATATTTTGAAAAATCTGAGATCTATTCACTGGCTGGGGCTATATTGTATTGGTATTAGATCCATCCAGTTAATATGATGACTGGGGATCTAACCTATCTCCTCTGGCTTTCCTTCCTGTAGGAAATTAAGGGATCAAAAAGCTAGTCATGGTCCAAAAAGAAATGTTAGGGTCAGGCCAAATCTTATCTCAAGGAGAAACATGAGATTGTATAGGAATGGCTCTCAGTGTCTGGGGACCTGGGGTCGGGGGAGTTGTAGAAGAAAGGTATCCTGAGTAAACCACTTATTCATCTGTTCATGGACACAATAAATGGGCTGATCTTCCTTTATCTTTTTTTATTTTTATTTTTTTTAATTCTTTTTTTTTTTTATATTTTTTTCTTTAGTTTTTTATTTTCATTCTTTTGTTGTTGTTTGTTTTATTTTCATCTGGAAAAACTAGCAACACATGATCTTCCTTTATCAAGAGCTGGGATTTGTTTGAACCCTCAGGATGAACTGGAGAGAATTGGGAATTTTTTTCAGGTTAACCCTTGGATAGCCTTATTAAAGTCTTCATGATTGGCAGTTTGCTATATGGCAGTTATAGTTGCTGTCAGTGATGTTCATGTGTGTCCTGGAACAATGTGTGTGTTCTTTGGGTTCAATATACCTGCATTCTAATCGTGGGTAATGACTAAATTTACCTTTGGAAAGTAAAGGACAGAGAAGAACCATATCTGTTTTCTAAGAAGGACCTTAGAAAACAATGCATAAAAATAAAGTAGTTTATACTGGTATAACTGGGCAATTCAAGTTTATTATTTTATCCCATCTGTGCAACAGTAGTTCAAAAACTTTTCTAGTGGTTAAAGAGCAATCATGGATTTGAATTATGTTTGCCCATAACTATAAGAATCCTGAACTGGACATGATGGTTTGTAAACCCAGCTGAAGTGGGAGGATGGCTTCACCCCAGGAGTTTGAGACTAGCCTAGGAACACAGATGAGACCCTGAATTAAAAATAGCACCAACCACCACCAAGGAAAAAAACCCCAAATTCCCAAGATCCTTATAGGGGACATATTTTTTTTTTTTTTTTTTCTTAAAGCATGGCAAGGAAGACTCTATTCAGGACCACTGCCATAGGTATGGGGACTACTGCAACAAGGTCTTGCAGTGGAGGAGAGAGACTGGGCTCATCGCTGGGTATAGCACATGCAAATAGAGATTTATAGCCAAGGAGCAGGGTGGGGTTGAGGATGGAAAATGACTAAGAGAAAACATCAGGGTTGGGGGACTCTGGCTTAACTGACCTAACAGATTCCTACTGCAGCCAGGCCAGGATGACCAGATACCACCTGGGGGATGGCAGGCAATGAGGAGCCTGGTCAGATGTCAGAGGAGACCAGAGGCCAAGAGTGGGGTTCTTGCTAAACTGACTTAGCAGGGTTCTTTGTAAAACTGGATTTTACAAAAAAAGTGTATAGAGGGCCCTACCTAGGAGAAGGTTCAGGAGGCTGAATAAAGTTTGGCCAACAAAGAATCTTTATCAGTCCTGTTAGTTGTTGGGTCACCTTTTGTTCAGTGAGGGCCAGCTGAATCATTTGCTGGGGCTCATCAGTCAGGACATATGCTGGCTGGTGCAAGCTGTCAGCCCTTTAATGAGGGGCGTTTAGTTTCTATTTAAATTTTTAAAAATCCCAAAGATTAATAGTTGGAACAAACTATAAACTCAGTTTCTGAGTCCAAAGGGCAACAGTCAGAAGATTTCTAGGTACTGGGCCCAAGTCATCTTTGGGATAGAGCAAGGATGGGCTGTAGCAATCTGACATATTTCCCTGGTTTGCAGTTTGCATGTTTTGAAGGCTGTCTGTACATGAACTGTTGTGATTTCTCTGAAGTTAATATCAAGTTATCCAGCTTTAGCATGCAGGACTTTGGGAAAAGGACAGTTTTAATTTTTAGAGGTTCTGGCCATTTTTTCCCAAGGGGCTTTATTGGCTTCATAAAGTCAACCTCAGTTTCTAAAGTTGTCTGGTCATATCTGAAAATGTGACATTCCATTCAAAGCCTTGGTAATATAACCACTTCCTCAGTTGTACTCAGCTTGAACAAAAGTTTGTCCAGAGCAATGGTTCAGGGGTCTGACTCATCAATGGATCCCACAGTCAGTCAGGAGGGAAGACAAAGGTTGTGAAGATGCACCCAGAGGTGCCTTGGTGAGAGGCCTGAAGGTCCCGAGATGAATCTGATTTTGAGTTTCAGCACCCTAAATTACCCCTCTCCTAAACTCCCCCTCTCCGAGGCTGCTAATGCAGCGCCAGCAAATAGGAAAGCTCCTGCTGAGCATGCTCCATGCTTTGTTCAGGATCATGTTTGACAAACTAATGCTTCTGACTGGATCCTGTGGGCCAGCACGGTAGCTCCCCATTGCTTATGGGGAGATTCTGTAAATACAGGTGAAGCTTCACTAGCCTGCCTGCCACTCACCTTTTGCTGTGTGGCCCAGATCCTAACATGCCATGGACTGGTGTACTGGTCCATGGCCTGGGGATTGGGGACCACAGCTGCATAGCTTCACTCTCATTTTTGGTACCTGTTTGACCCTAAAAGACATTTGAATTTAGGACTCCTGTTTTTAAAAGGGAGAGGTTTAAGCTGAACTGTTTTTCTTTTGCTTATATAATATGTAGCTAAGGTCAAATCCAAAGGCTTAGGAGAGTTCCCTGATATAAACTATTATTTTTATTTTATATTTCTGATATATCTGTGTGTGCATCTATATGATTTTCCTTTGATATTATATAGTAATCTTTCCATAATTATCATTATCCTTTAAAATTATTTATGTCCAGCAGGCCTTCATATATATAAAAATTTGGGATTGCTATGACTTAGTGCAGTGCTTAATTTATTGTTGTTGTGAACAAAAAGTGTCATTGGTTAAGTTCTGGTTTTTAGTCTCAGTGAATATGCAGATGTTTACTTTAAACTCTGCATACACAGTATGCTATGGATACTTGGGTGAGATTTGTTTTTTAAGGGAAAAAAACTGCTTAAAGTTTGTTTTTTTTTCCTTTATCCCCTAAAATAAAGCAACCAAAAATGTTTTGTGTGTAATGAAAGAAAATCTCACTCACAACTCTTTTTCTTAATTTATTATTGATATAGATGAGTAACGAGAGAGGCTTTGACAATGTAGAACTGGGAATCATAGGAAAAAAGAAGAAAGTCCCAAGGAGAGTCATCCACTTTGTTAGTGGTGAAACAATGGAAGAATACAGCACAGATGAAGATGAAGTCGATGGCCTGGAGAAGAAAGATGTTTTGCCAACTGTTGATCCTGTAAGTTTGATATTGATGATCCTTTAGTCAGTGGGCTTCTTTTTTTATTAATTTGTTTCTTGAACATTGAATGGAAGGGGCATACATTTTGAGGTTTAAATTAACTATATTCTGATTATAAAATTATGTTATTTTGTTAGAAAATGGTATTTTTACACAATATGAATGGAAATTTTTTCAGCATTTCAGTAACCTTAAACCATTTGTTTTTCAATGTCAGGGTACTTTGTCAGCATGAATAGTTTCTTTAAGATTTACTAAATTAAATGCTTAAACCCTAGTTCCTTTGAATTAAGGACTGTACTACCATGATAGTTTCCACCCAAAACTTAGGAAATTGTCAGTTCTTTTTTATATTGCGTCAAGTTTTGATTAGAAGATAGAAATATGCAGTTCTTAACTTTGTGTGCCTCACTAGCTAAATTTAAGAATTTCTAGATTATATAAGATGTGACTATAAAATTATGAGACTAACTGTATATTTTTTAAAAAGAGTAATATCCTCCCAAGTAGTTTTTTGAGAGTCTGGGTGATCACATATTCACTGACTTTCAAACAGGTACTGTTTTAGGCACTGATGATACAGCAATGAACAGTATAAATTTCTGCTCTTTTTTTTCCTTTCAGCCAAGAAATTTCTGCTCTTATGTACTAGTTGGAAAATAGGCAATAAACAAATAAATATGTACTATAATTATCAGGCTGTAAAAAGTGCTATAAAGAAAATAAAGCATAGTAACAGCATAGTTAGAGAATTATTAATACTTGACTTTAAAAATGAGCTACTCATTTTTTATCAGATTTATCTCTAAGTAAATTTTGGCTATTAAAAAAGCACACACAGATTCTCTACTACAGAAAATATTCAAAGGATTGTTCAATATACTCTGAAGGTAGTTCCAAATGTATGTATTAATAGAATATTACAGAGATGATTCATGCAATAGAAGAGTTATTGGGATAAATGTCTTCTTTTTAAATTATTTTCAAGGGATTAGTTCATATTTGTCTTTATAAACGTGTATTGTTTTAAGAAGTCATTGTCTCAAAAGTTGGCCTGTATTTACATAGAAACTGAAAATAAAGGCATTGACATAAAAAGAATACATCCTTATTACTTTACTAAAGATTTACTCTTTTTAAAAGCTTTATTGATGGCTGGGCGATGCGTGGCTTCCACGACTTTAATCCTACCACTCTGGAGAAGCCAAGCCAATTGATAACAAAGCAAGTAAGGAGTTCAAACCAGCCTGAGCAAACAGCGGACCCGTCTCCTACTAAAAAGAAAAAATTAATGGCCACTAAAATATACGAAAAATAAGCGGGTGGTGCATAGCCTGTAGGGCCCCACTAACTCGGCGAGGCTGAGGGCTGACAGGGAGATGCTAGCACAGGAGTTGGAGTTGCTGTGAGCTAGGCTGAGCCCGGCACTCTAGCCCCCAGGCAACAGAGTCAGACTCTCTCAAAAAAAAAAAAAAAAAAAAAAAGCTTATTGAGATACAGATTTTGATATTGAACTTGTGGGGTCTGGGCAGGCATTGAAAAAGAATTCAAAAGTCAGCTCTTATTGGCAAAGGTACTTCTTCAGAAGACAAGTATCATGACATCAACCCAGAAAAGGATCCCTTTAAGTCTTGTTTGTATAGCCAAAGACTGCAGCTTGTTGATTTTTCCTTCAAGTCCGCGTGTTAGCTTTATAGATATGGGCAAGTCTGACATAAACCAATAATTGCACAAAAAACAGCAGAGTTAATTACCCTCTTGCTAAAACTTCCTGGTGCCACTCTCTACAACAGTAAATAATCCTTTGTGCTTTTCCCCCCACTGTGATAGGACACTTTTTGCTCTGTATTTTAGGAGTAGAGCCCAGATCCAGCTGTGGTGCATCACACTGCTTCCTAGCATGTCAGGAGAGGACTGAGTCGTGGATTGTCAAAGGTTCAGAAGAGAGTCGAGACTTAGCTTCTCTCCTTAAGAGCGATGCGACCGAATTACCAGCCGCTCTATAGACTATAGACCAAGAGAATATCTTATTAGGAAAAATTTTATAGAAAGATATTTACTATTAAAAGATAGAAAAAATGGCCAAAGCAAAATATATAGAAAAAGACCCCAGCATTTGGCAATGCTGTAAATCCCAGGTACTCAGGAGCGTGAGGCAGAAGGATTGCGTTGACCTAAGAAGTTTGAGGTCGCTATTGTGAGCTACGCGAATAGGCCCCAATTGGCACTCTACATAAGTCAACAAAGTAAGATCTGTCTCAAAAACAACAACCAGTACAACCAAAACCGTTTCAGCGAGGAGAGCGCTTATTCCTCATAATTTTTGTACAATGGTGTATTATAATCTCTTCTGCTGCCTTTGCTCAGGAGCAGAGCTGCTTCTTTGATTTTTGACACTTTTTAAAGACACAACGCTTCGTACTAAATGATCAACTATCCTTTGCTGGCATTAAATTTCCTGCTTTAATAGGCCTTCCCTCATGTTGCTTTAAGCCGTCCTATAACCGACTTTTTCCTCAACTCATATTACGAGGAGTCTACATAGGGTCATAAGTCTCCTTGTAGAGGTAACTTCTTCTTCACAAAGAAAGCTGGCATTTCCTTTTAATTACAGGAAAATACAGGTATATCTTGCAAAAGTCAGTTTTTCATACCCGTACATAGCTTGCAGCGAAATGGCTTAAATTTCCTTTTCTTTCTATTCTTTTTTTTTAAAAGTATACGTGAACCATTATAGCTGAGGCCTTCATATTTATCTTGAACTGACCAGCAACCACAGCTGCCAGACCGCTCTATATTACTATATAGTACTACTCAAACATTTAACTTTTTTAAATATCATATTTTCTCTGCCTCTTAGGAACACTTCCTCTGCCTCCAGGATCACTAGTGCACTTGATAGGTCCCATGGTGCTTTGAAGTAACAGTATTACAGGAAAATGCTAAAAACATACCAGACACATACGATGAGACCAATATCTACTTGGTTACACGCAATGATAAGGTGAGGTGGCTTCAGATTTACAGTAGTACGAGTCATTCTTCGTTCTTTTATGCAGTTATATGTAATACTGCATCTTTTTTTTTTTTTTTTTTGAGACAGAGTCTCACTTGTTGCCCAGGCTAGAGGAGTGCCGTGGCGTCAGCCTAGCTCACAGCAACCTCAAACTCCTGGGCTCGAGTGATCCTTCTTGCCTCCACTCCCAGTAAGCTGGACTACAGGCATGCGCCACCATGCGGCTAATTTTTTATATATATCAGTTGGCCATTAATTCTTTCTATTATAGTAGAGACGGGTCCGCTCTTGTCAGGCTGGTTTTGAACTCCTGACCTTGAGCAATCCGCCCGCTCGGCCTCCAAGAGCTAGGATTACAGGCGTGCCACAGCGCCCGGCCTTAATACTGCATCTTTGTTTACGTATCTCTTGACTGCAAAGGTACCATGTATGGTGTGTGTTTTGTATGAAAATTTGATAAATTTAAAATTTTTATAGATTTGTGTATATTTTACGGTATGAATGATAGAATAGCTAGTATCTATGTATATTTTATGTATTCATGACATGCCTACTCTTTCTTACTTTTTTCCTGCTATTTATAGGCTATATAGTTTGTAATTGTTTTTTTTTTAGACAGAGTCTCGCTTTGTTGCCCAGGCTAGAGTGAGTGCCATGGCATCAGCCTAGCTCACAGCAACCTCAAACAACTCCTGGGCTCAAGCAATCCTGCTGCCTCAGCCTCCCGAGTAGCTGGGACTACAGGCATGTGCCACCATGCGCCGGCTAATTTTTTATATTATTTAGTGGCCAATTAATTTTTTCTATTTATAGTAGAGACGGGTCTTGCTCTTTCTCAGGCTGTTTCGAACTCCTGACCTCAAGCAGTCTGCCCCCTTCGCTCCAGAGTGCTAGGATTACAGGTGTGAGCCACCGCGCCCGACCATTTTGTGAATTTTTTTAAATTGTCACAAATCTCAAAAAAATTTTCCAGTAAATTTATTGGAAAAAATCCATGTTTAAGTTGATCCGTGCATTTCAAACCATTTTTGTTTAATGGCCAAGTGTATACTTTGCTCCAGAGCATGCCTTGTCCTTTCCTAAGTAGTTTCCTGGCCTTATCATTTATTACGTGTTATAGAAATTGGCTCCATTTCCTTATACTTCTGCCACTTTCCCATTTCCTGTAAACTATACGATCAGAGCATCTTAAATAGAGCCCCTAAAGTAACCCTTATCCCATATAAGAGACCCATCCTTCTCTGAATATAGACGATCTAGCAAATTTGATCTAGGGAGTCAGTAATATCAGTATTTTTTTGGTTGAATTATTTCGACATTCTTTCTTGAGTAAATGAAGAAAAACGAACTGCCTTACTTCTATATCTTTTTAGGAACAATATCACAGAAATTGGCATACCTACTTTTTATAGTAAGACTGTGTTATTTGTTTCCTTCTCTCTACTTTCACACATCTACTCAGTCTTAACAGATATTCTTGTGTTTACATTTTTAATGCCCTCGTAATCATAAGATTATGGACAAGTTTTCTCTTTCTCCTTTCCTTGGAAACAATATTAAAACAATTATTGGCCAGGCACATGGCTCACATCTGTAATCCTAGCATTTTGAGAGGCTGAAGTGGGAGGATTGCTTGAGGTCAGGAGTTCAAGACCAGTCTGAGCAAGAGTGAGACCCCATCTCTACAAAAAAAAATAGAAAAATTAGTCAGACTTGGTGGCTTACACCTGTAGTCCCAGCTACTTGGGAGGCTGAGGCAAGAGGATCACTTGAGCCCAGGAATTTGAGGTTACAGTGGGCTATGATGACACTACTGCACTGTAGCCCAGGAGATGGAGCAAGACCCTGTCTCAGAAAACAAAACAAAAAACCACACACACACACACACCCAAGCAAAAAAACAATTATTAATGTATTTGACTAATTGTACTTTCTTTACTATGTTTTCTTTTGATAAACAAAATATTGGTACGATGAAGCATGCCTGTATTACTGGTTTCATCCACAGAGTCAAACTATCATCTATTTGGCATGCTTCACAAAAGTACTGTATGGAATCTAGAACCAAGATTAGCTGTGGAATTATGCAGTGTTGACTGCATTCTGCCAGTGGAGGTGGCTTACCAAGATACACTGAGTTTGTCTTAGGTTGTATGGTCTTGTCCTTTTCTAATCCTTAAACAAAATTTACCTTGCCACTTAGTTGTCCCTTATTGTCCCACCATTAAAAACTCATTTGGTATGCTCTTCTTGTCCTGTTTAATTTCTCTGAGCCTTAATTTCCCCACTATAACATAAGTACGTCAGACTGTATGAATCTTTAAGGTCCTTTCTGTCAATTGTACACCCTCTCTGGTATTGTGATTATAAACAGTGAAGACAAAACATCGGCAAAATGGGAAAGGAAGCCTCTGGATTATCAACTCCTAAATAATGCAGACTCTAATTTACCAACTCCATTTCAGTGGCTCATTTTTTTTTTTTTTTTGTTCTTTTATGGGCTTCAGTAGGTGGTAGTTATATGAGTGAATGTAAAATGTCTTTGTGGAGAGTGGTGTTTGGAAACAGGACATAGGGTTATCAAAAACATCATGTAGAGACAAATCCATTGGATGAAGTAGAGATGGGGGAAGAAATTCAAGGACAGGTAGAGATGGAACAAAAAGAACATCCCCTCTCTTCCCTTGCCATCAAGCAGACATTCAGAAGACTTGTGTAGAGAGATAGTCACTTAAGAATAAATCCAAGAATTAATACAGTTAACCAGTCTCATGCTCCTGTCAGCTTAGACTCTTATATCTGAAAGGGTGCCATAGTTGCAAAGGATAACATGCTCTTTGTGCCAGGCTTTCCATGCCCCAGCAGCCCCACAATGAAGTCCTGGGCAGTCAGCATCTCAGTAGGCTCTGCTCATGAAAAGCCTGCCATGCTCTGGGCAACTGGGCCTGCCCAACTACCAGAAGATTTGTGTACTTAGCATACATGACGATACCTGCAACCCATTGGTATTATCTCTATTCCTCTCCTTTGTAGTTTCCATAAAAATTAAGTTTTTAGTGCCGTCTCACCTGGAATTAGAATTTTGTAGATACAGCCAAAATTTTGTGGCCAGGAACTTTGCTACGGATATAATAAAACCCATTCCCCAGCTACTCCAGTTTGGGTAAAGAAAAAAGAGAGAGAAATGACCACGTCCTCTGATGATGCCCACAAGGTCCAGGCAGTATTCTAAGTTACAGAGGAAAAATTTTCTGTTATAGGAAAAAAAATCTCTGAAATGGAAGGCAAAATTCATCATCCCAGAAGCCTGGGTAAACCTTAAGAATACCAACTCTGTAGCTATTAAAAATCCTATCATAGAAGTAATATATATATATATGGAATTCTATCTATAAAGATTTAAAATTTTTGATTGGATTGCAGTAATACTGCCTGTGGAATATTCTCTGTTCCTACCAATTGTTTGACTGCTTCATTCTGGCATCAATATATACAGTGAGTTTAGGTATCAGTGTTGCTAATCTGTCTTCTTGTTGCAGACAAAACTTACCTGGGGTCCCTATTTATGGTTTTACATGCTTCGGGCTGCCACATCAACCCTCTCAGGTATTGTTTTTCTGTTTGAATATTGTATAATTGCTGTAATATGTTCAAAGAACAAGAGCTTTGCCAAATGGGATGTTTCCAAATTGAAGGAGAAATAATACTGATGTAGTTAATTATTCCAGCCTCAGAAGCTAGCTAGCATTGGAAGATATTAACCTAACTTGTGCTTCATCTGAAAACATTCTTCAGCTTCTGATTATGTTTAAGGAAAAAAAGAACTGAAGGATATTAGTTTAGATAGTTTTTCACATTCTTAAGCCCTTTCTATTAGGAACTATTTTGCTGCTCTGTTACTTGATTTGGTCTTCTACTGGTATTTATTATTCTTGTTCTGTCTCACTGCTTATTCTAAAGCCTGTAGTTATAGTTCATTTATATTTTTATTTCATAAATATTTCATTTCTTAAATTGATATTTAAGTCATACTCGAAGGAAATGAATAATCAACTTATGACTTAATGCTAATTTTAAATATAGGTTTTAAATTATAAAGCTTTCCTCTGCCTCTAATTTTAACCTTCTTGTAGTTTCTATAACTTTCTGCTTTTATTAGGGCTAACTGGAAATAGTAATTGATTCAATAAACATTTACTGAACACTCATTATAAGAGTGCTATACTATACTCACTAGACAGTCTGGTGTAATAAAAGAAAGAGCATAAGCTTTAGATTCAGACCTAGATTTGAATTTTGGATCTTGTTTGTCAGTTGGGGCAAGTTCTTTAACCTCTCTAATCCTAACCTTTCACAGTGCCTGGCACATAGTAGGTACTCAGTGTTATAAATACAAACCATTCCTCTCCTCCAGCCCAGTGATATCCCAACCCTCTAAGACTATAAATTTTTCTTAAAAATATGGTCATGTAACAGATAATTATAATACCTGGTGATAAGTGTATTAATGGAGATATGAATAGACTAATATTAGGAGCCCAGAAGTAGCAACTAATACTTCTTGGAGGAATCAGGGAAGATTAACAGAAGAGAGAAATATATTGGGTTTTTATAATCTCTTCGAGGGTGGGAACAATAATGCTTGTATTCCTATTGTCTTATACATAGAAAGTGTTCATGAAGTGTTTTTGGAATTGTATAAGTCTTTTAACTTTTGTATCCTTAGTGTGTGACTTTCTTGGAGAGAAGATTGCATCTGTTTTGGGCATCAGCACCCCAAAATACCAATATGCCATTGATGAATATTACCGGATGAAGAAGGAGGTGTGTCTCCTTTTTACATTTTCTTGATTCAGTGTGGTTTTCTGTAGACTTGATGGACTGCATAATGAGCATATGTATTCTCTAGCTTCCCAAAAGATAGCTCCCGTGCCAGCGTTGGTGGTATAGTGGTGAGCATAGCTGCCTTCCAAAAGATAGCTCCCTCATGCTAGGAATTCAATTCTAGAGTCATTAATATCTTTACCGAATTAATAGACATTTTAGAATTCTTTAAAACTGAAATTTCCCTAGGATCTATATGCAAAACTAAGCTAGGTTTCATTGTGGTAGTGCTATGTGAGGTGCCTCATATATGTTATTTAATCTTCATACACCTCTATTTGGATTATTATTCTAATTTTAAGATGAAGAAACAAGACCCAGTTTCTGTACTTAGAGTACATGTACTGAGCATAGGAGAAGTGTAGTTGGTTTGATGCATAGAAAATTGTAAGTACTAGGGATGTGTATGTGCCAATTGTCAATGCACAAAGATGTGAGGGCAGTTCTGTCTGCAGAAGTATAAGGTCTCAAGGTGAGGGTGAATTGAGTTTAGAATTAAGGAAAAAGCTTTAGTGCTTAAGAACCAAAATAACTCTAGAGCTCAAGAAGAAAAGGTCCTGAATTCAAAATCTATCTCTGCCACCTATAACTTTATAACTTTGGGCAAGATACTTAACCTCTCTAAGCTTCAGTTTCCTCATCTTTATAATAAGGAGAACTGCAGGATCCATGTTCAAGGTTGCTCTAAGGATTAAATGAGTTAATACATAAATGTTTAGAACAGCATCTGGTGTATATGGGTGAGCACACAATAAACATAATTTGTTACTTTTCAAGTAAATCAAGAGCAGCAGTTCAGGTAATAGAATTTAGAGGCATGAAAACATGTTGTATGTTTGGGGTAATGGCAAAATAATAGTTTACTATCACTGGATCATAGGGTACAATGAGGGAATGGCTAGGCTGGAGATGAGTCCCGAAAGGTAAGTTGACTTTATATTTGTTGTGTGGTTTCAAACATGTTTTATGAACAAACAAGTATTTTTTAACACTAAAAGCCTTGTTTAAAGCCTCATTACCTCATCTGAACTATTATATTAGCCTCCTAAATGGTCTCTATTTTCAAGCAAGCCTTAGATTAATCTTCCTGGGTTACTCCCTCTGTTCTGACTACCCATACTGTAGGGTCCAATACAAATGCCATCTCCTCAATGAATTTAGTAGTTCTGTAACTAGAAATTACTCTTTCTAAATCTCTATAGTGCTTATTTCTTTCTGTCTTAATAGTATTTTTACATGTCTTAACTTTTCCTGTTAGATTGTAAACTTCTTGAGGACAGGGACTGCTTTGTATATGTATATTAGATGCTTATGGGAAAACTAATCATGTTATACCATTTTATGAATTAACCAGCCTATTCAACTGAATAGGCTGACAGTCTATAGTTGAAATGATACAGTATTAGCTAATTTTTAATTTAGATTAAACTTAATCTGGAAAAATACATAGCCACTGTCAAAGTTAATTCAGGTCTCATTTAAGCTAAGTTGTGCTGGACCATTCTTCAAGCAAATCGAGGGCAGCAATTCAGGTAACTTCACTTTCTTTAAAATGTTTTATAATAGTCATCATTTCATTTTGGGAACAGAGGAAGGGAAAGTAAGTCATAATTAGACCAAACTGAATTGGACATGACATTGATGTTTTGGTTTAAAAAAGACACGAGAAGCTGACAGTGGGAGAGGAAATACTATTCCTTTTAGATATTTATATTTCAACTATTCTTGATATTTTCCCTTTGTAGGAAGAAGAGGAAGAGGAAGAAAACAGGATGTCTGAAGAAGCAGAAAGACGGTATCAGCAGAATAAACTACAGACTGATTCCATTGTTCAGACAGATCAACCAGAAACAATGGTATCCAGTTCATTTGTGAATCTCAATTTTGAAATGGAGGGAGACACTGAAGTAATTATGGAAAGCAAACCAAATCCAGTCTCTGTCCCACCGTAGAATGAAATGACTATCAAACTTCAAACACTAAGGTTTCTTTTTTTTTACTACCAAGAACTTTCGGATTCTCTATTCAGTGGAACTTAATATAGTTATTTATGTTCTAAATTATTATCTGTAAAGGGAAAATGTTTCTTCATTCTTAGTCTTATCTGGCAAAAGCCAGCTGTGAAATTTGGGTATTTGTACTGTTTTTACTGTGTCAAATTAGTGCTTTGGATTTAAAATGATTTTTTTTAAAGGTCATTCTAGAACTATAATCACCAATTAAGAGTTAAATTATCAAGCTTGTTTGTCTGTTATTTGTGCATTTGTTACTAAAAAACAAGGTAAGTTACTGATGAAGGCTAATTGGATCTGATAATCTTACAGTCTCAGATTAAAATGAGGATTTTTTTCCCTATATTTTCTCATGTTATGCCTTGAATTTATATGTCTAACCTAACCATTAATTTTGTACTAAGGATGGTTCACTAAGTGTATAATAAAAGGAGCAAGATGGATGCACTTTGAATTTTCTTTCATTGAGAGTAACTATTGTTATGGAAAAGTGGAGTTTATAACAGCAAATATTAAGATGGGTTTCCTTTTTTAATACAAGTTTCTTAATATTCTTTTTTAGTATTTATTCAAATTAAATAGCTTTGAACTAATGTTAAAAATGATAGTTATGGAATGAATTTGTTAGTGTATTTTTATTCAAGTGCTCATACCTAGTGATTATTCATATGGCATTATGTTATGTCACTCATTCAGGCCTTAATGCCTCCCATAGGCAAAGTAGTTTGAGAAAAGAGAGGATCGGGGATACTTGTAGATTTAACCCATCAGCTGGTGTCAAATACTATACAAGGTGCAATGGTGGTGTAATGAATTTATGTGTCATTCACCATTTTAAAGTAGCAACAGCAAGATTACAGTTTACTTGAACAGGTTGGCCATTCCTTTACCTACGGAGGTATTTGCAAACCTTACAAAGGTATACAGTATAAAGCTGATTTTCTAAATATTCTTAAATGTGTGTAGAGAACCTTTTTGAGATATCTGTAACTTTGTAAATAACTTTTGACTTATAACTAAATGTAGGTAAGAAGGTGTGCAATGTTTTAGACATATTGATCTTAAGCCTTTTCACAAACTTTAATGAGCTTTTAGAAATTAACTAAATACTAATTAACTAATACTGATGTTAATGGCCTTCTAAATAGCATTACAAATTCAATCTTAAATATATCTATGTAAAATACAGCTTCAGAGAAACTAAAAATGTAGGTACAGTGGGTCTATTATGGAAATCTGTTGTCAGTGAACATGAACTATTAAGTTCTTTAAGTGAAAATTGAAGAATGTAGGAAGGATAATTAAACTCATTAGGAGTCTTCAGTTACACCATAGACATGAATACATAAACATGAATATGGTTCATAGTAAGTGATGGTAATCATTTTATTTATGGGTATAAACTCTTTATAACTTAAAAGATTATGTAATTAATATCCCATAAATTATAGTTTACCAATAGCTCTAAAACATGCTAACCTGAGCTCTTCTCTCCAATTTGTTTTTAATTTCATTTGAGTTAGTACCTACAAATCAGATATGTGTTTGGTTATCAAGTGAAGGTAGGTTATGTCTAAAGGTGATCTTCTGAATCTTCTTTCCCTAGAGGCACTAGTATCTAAGAGTTTATCTACAAACTTTTCTGATTGTTAAGGAAGATAGTAACTTATGTTTTATGTTTCTTGAATTTTCTTTTGATACTTGTCCAATAGTTGCCAGTTTATAATGTTTAAATATAGTTATTCACTGTGCCTTAAATTTTATACTTTTTTGTTTATGTAAACTATAAAATGTCCCATAAATGCATTAAATTGTCTTATTTTAAGCCTGTTTCCCTTTTTTCTACTTCCCTTTCAACTCTTTTAAGAATTATTGTTCCCTTTGTATCATAGTTCATGATATTCTACCTTCTTCTAATCTTTATCTCATAAAAATGAAATACAACAGTATAATTGAAGAGCCTTTACAAACTGAATTAACATAAAATCTTTTTTTTGAGACAGAGTCTCACTTTATTGCCCCCCGCTAGAGTGAGCACCGTGGCGAGTCGGCTATTGCAGCTGCCAGCAAATATTGAGAATGCTCTTGCTCTGAGATCTCCCATGCTGTTGTTCAGGATCATGTTTGACAAACTAATGCTTCTGACTGGATCCTGTGGGGCCAGCACGGTAGCTCCCCATTGCTTATGGGGATTCTGTAAATACAGGTGAAGCTTCACTAGCCTGCCTGCCACTCACCTTTTGCTGTGTGCCCAGATCCTAAAATGCCATGGACTGGTGTACTGGTCCCATGGCCTGGGGATTGGGGACCACAGCTGCATACTTCACTCTCATTTTTGGTACCTGTTGACCCTAAAAGACATTTGAATTTAGGACTCCTGTTTTTAAAAGGGAGAGGTTTAAGCTGAACTGTTTTTCTTTTGCTTATATAATATGTAGCTAAGGTCAAATCCAAAGGCTTAGGAGAGTTCCCTGATATAAACTATTATTTTTATTTTATATTTCTGATATATCTGTGTGTGCATCTATATGATTTTCCTTGATATTATATAGTAATCTTTCCATAATTATCATTATCCTTTAAAATTATTTATGTCCAGCAGGCCTTCATATATATAAAAATTTGGGATTGCTATACTTAGTGCAGTGCTTAATTTATTGTTGATTGAACAAAAAGTGTCATTGGTTAAGTTCTCGGTTTTTAGTCTCAGTGAATAATGCAGATCGGTTTACTTTAAACTTGCATACACAGTATGCTATGGATACTTGGGTGAGATTTGTTTTTTAAGGGAAAAAAACTGCTTAAGTTTGTTTTTTTTCCCTTTATCCCCTAAAATAAAGCAACCAAAATGTTTTGTGTGTAATGAAAAGACAAATCTCACTCACAACTCGCTTTTTTTCTTAATTTATTATTGATATAATGGATGAGTAACGAGAGAGGCTTTGACAATGTAGAACTGGGAATCATAGGAAAAAAGAAGAAAGTCCCAAGGAGAGTCATCACTTTGTTAGTGGTGAAAACAATGGAAGAATACAGCACAGATGAAGATGAAGTCGATGGCCTGAGAAAGAAAGATGTTTTGCCAACTGCTTGTCCTGTAGTTGGATATGAATGACCCTTTAGTCCAGTGGGCTTCTTTTTTTTATTAATTTGTTTCTTGAACATTGAATGAAGGACAATACATTTTGAGGTTTAAATTAACTATATCCTGATTATAAAATTATGTTATTTTGTTAGAAAATGGTATTTTTACCAATATGAATGGAAATTTTTCACATTTTCAGTAACCTTAAACCATTTGTTTTTCAATGTCAGGTTACTTTGTCAGCATGAATAGTTTCTTTAAGTTTACTAAATAAATGCTTAAACCCTAGTTCCTTTGAATTAAGGACTGGTACTACCATTGATAGTTCCCACCCAAAACTTAGGAAATTGTCAGTTCCTTTTTTATATTGCGTCAAGTTTTGATTAGAAGATAGAAATATGCAGTTCTTAACTTTGTGTGCCTCACTACCTAAATTTAAGAATTTCTAGTCATTATATAAGATGTGACTATAAATTATGAGACTAACTGTATATTTTTAAAAGAGTAATACTCCCAAGTAGTTTTTTGAGAGTCTGGGTGATCACATATTCACTGACTTTCAAACAGGTACTGTTTTAGGCACTGATGATACAGCAATGAACAGTATAATTTCGCTCTTTTTTTTTCCTTTCAGCCAAGAAATTTCTGCTCTTATGTACTATTTGGAAAATAGGCAATAACAAATAATATGTCTACTATAATTATCAGGCTGTAAAAAGTGCTATCAAGAAAATAATAGTATTGAGAATTATTAATACTTTACTTAAAAATTGAGCTACTCATTTTTATCAGATTTATCTCTAAGTAAATTTTGGCTATTAAAAAAGCACACACAGATCTCTACTACAGAAATATTCAAAGGATTGTTCAATATACTCTGAAGGTAGTTCCAAATGTATGTATATAGAATATTACAGAGATGTTCATGCATAAAAGTTATTGGATTGTCTTCTTTTTAAATTATTTTCAAGGGATTAGTTCATATTTGTCTTTATAAACGTGTATTGTTTTAAGAAGTCATTTCAAATTGGCCTGTATTTATATGAACTGAATAAAGGCATTGCAATAGAATACATCCTTATTACTTTACTAAAGATTTACTCTTTTTAAAAGCTTTATTGATGGCTGGGCATGGTGGCTCACGCCTTTAATCCTACCACTCTGGGAAGCCAAGGCAGATGGATCTTCAAGTTAAAGGAGTTCAAAAACCACCTGAGCAGAGCGAGACCCCGTCTCTACTAAAATAGAAAAAAATTAATTGGCCAACTAAAACTATATAGAAAAAATTAGCCGGGCATGGTGGCATATGCCTGTAGGCCCAGCTACTCGGGAGGCTGAGGGCTGAGGCAGGAGGATTGCTTGAGCACAGGAGTTGGAGGTTGCTGTGAGCTAGGCTGATGCCACGGCAACTCTAGCCAGGCAACAGAGTCAGACTCTGTCTCAAAAAAAAAAAAAAAAAAGCTTTATTGAGATACAGTTTGATATTGAACTTGTGGGGTTCTGGGGGCCAGGGGCATTGAAAAGAACTTCAAAAAGTCAGGCTCTTATTGGCAAGGTACTTCTTCAGAGACAAAGTATCAATGGAATCAACCCAGAAAAAGGATTCTCTTTTAAGTCTTGTTGTATAGCCAAAAGACTGGCAGCTGGTGTTTATCTTTTCCCTTCAAGTCCGGGTGGTTAGCTTTATAGATATGGGCAGTCCTGACCATAAACCCAACTACATTTGCACAAAACAGCAGAGTTAACTTATCCCTTCTTG